ACAGACACAGAGTACATCGGTAAAATGGTGAGAGATGATTCAGAGATGCAAAATTGAATATGGGATGTTGAGTGCACACTCGAACTCTTTTACGAAGAGCAATAGAAATATTAGGCTCAAACTCAAGAACTGGAAGTGATACTGGATTTCCTGAACTCAAGGAAACTATTTCGCACGGCAGTGGAAGACGATCTTATCCTTCTGTCATCTTTAATAGACACGTGATTACTTTTTTTTTCCTTGCTGCTGCTGTTCCTCATTATTTTCCTGCTCTGGTTCTAATGAAAAAAAGACACTAATGAGACAAATGGGAAGACAAATCCATACTTGTCGTCACCCAAATTCTTCCCATGAGGAGAAGTCTTTGGGGAGAAATAGGTTACTCTGCCTCAAAAAAAGGTGACATCCATTAAGATAAATCTTTTACGTGAAGGAGGATGACAACATTTGTAACCTTTTTATGTAGGAAAATAACCAAGAAAGATGCATTTGATTGCTTTAGGATCTAACTTACTTCGGAGTCAAGTAGGAACATAGACAAAGCAAACACACCCACACACTTGAGGAGGAATTGAAAAATAGTTAGAGAAAGAAGGGGAAGAAGAGGAAAAAAAGAAGATGAGACGTCAACTGGTGACCAAAAGCAACCTCATTCTGTTGAGGCGTATCCCTACTAGAAGTTTGGTGCATAATTCTTGCTCAACAAAATTAGAATGAAGTCCCCCATAAACATATTCACCCCATTATCAAAATGAATAATTTGTATTCTATTATGAAATTAGGTAAGTACCACCTCAAGACAAATCATTAATAAGTTTCACAAACTATTTGAAACTAGACAAATTAGAAACTCAGGACCTTCCCTAAACATCAATATGAAGAATAGCAAAAGATGGAGTACTTTTATTGAAACTAATAGGAATGATGCACCATTGTGTTTTGCAAGGTCACATGCTACACAACGGAAATAAGAGACATTCACAGCCTAGAAAACAAAGCAAATAATTCTTGTAACAAAAGAAATGGGGATATCCTAATCTTTAACGTAGTAGCCAAATGTACTCCTTAGAAATGTCACATCTTTTTAGCTTGTAAGAATAGTAGTATCGTCTGGCTCTTAGAAATTCTGATACTAAAGACCGTCTCTCTCTTCACCATTGTCAATCCTCTTCCTCGTGACAAGGTCCTAAAAGATATGATGTGAAGGAAACAATGTCACACTACGATTTAATTTTCTTGTAATGCTACTAAGAAAAAAAGATTATTTGAAAAGTTAGGAACATGTAAAACAGATAAGAGAGATAGAGAGAAAGAAACTGGAACAAAATCTTTATCAGCTACAAAAGATAATGAACCATCGACTATTTTAACTGTCGTTTTCCTGAACAAGCAGTCTATGATGATAACAAAGTGGACATTCCAGTAATATTGTCTGAGGCTCCTGAATTAATGATCCAGGGATAAGAGAGGGTATTACATGATGCACTCAGTGTTGTAGGCAGTTTGCCAAAATTGACAAAATAAGTGGATGCAGTGGCAGGTGTCTCTAGTTTCGACATAATGTAACGTGTATTCTCCACTTCCTCCTTAGTAAGTGCATCCCCAACTCTTACTTTTTTTTAGACTCAAACTTAAATTTGAGTAAAACGATCTAGAAAACATCTTAAATCCTATATCAAAACTCATATCAAATCAGACCTTCCCTCCCCTGTCTCTTATCTCCTCTCTTGCATTTCACGCTCATCAATAGTAGCCATCTATCTTCCGGATGTCCTTCTTCTCACCTCTATTCCAACTATTTTTATTCTACATATAATATTGTAGGTCTTTGGCCCTTTTCTCTCTATATATATAGTTATTGAAGGGAAAGAAGTAGAGAAAAAAGAAGAATCAAAAGAGTTTGAGGAAAAAAATTTAAAGAAGTGAGCTCTTGGACAGCCTGAGAATTTTTAAAAAATTTGAGTATAAATGGGGTTTGTCCATCGGAGAAATCTATACTAAATCAAATTTTTTAACTCAAATTCAGAAAGGATTTAAGAGCCATGTCTTTAGAAGATGAAGCAAGACAAGGGGATGGAGTCTCCGCTGCAGTATTGAGATGGGTTCAAGATCCTCCTCTACCGCCTAAGCGTCATCCTCTACCCCCAAACAGAGGACGACCATGTAATTTCTAGCAAGTCTTTTGATTATGTCTCGGCTTATTACAATAATAACACTATAATGTATCTTTATTATCAGATGTAACATCATTGCACGTTCTCTCTCAACTTTCTTACTTCTCAACTAGCTATTTCGAGAAGTAGCAGTAGCCGAAGCTAAACTCTCTTAGGGCATAGGGTGAAACATATCCCTCCTCTCTTCTAAGTGAACATAAGCATATACCAGAGAAGGAGTGTCTTTTTCCCTAAGATTTGAATCCTAATTTGATTGCAAGGAATTCAACAATCCTCTCTTGTTCTATTAACTTCTATAGTTTTGAGGCATATGTAGCACAAACCATATCAAGCTTTTGATAGTGATCCAAGTCTTGCCATAAGCTCGCAAAGTATGAAAATATGTTGTCGATGAAGAATCTCTGTTTGTTATTATGAATCCGACATTTCAACTCATAAACCTATGCCATGTTACCCATTTTCAACTATATTTGTGAAACTATCTCACAAATCTTCTTCGAAGTGTGAAAAAAAAAATGCCATTATTGATCTCCGATTGCATAGAGTGGAGTTACCAAGACATAATCATTGAATTCTCAGCCTTGCACTTATCATAAAGAGGGTCGTCAATTGGTGGTTCTTCAACTTTGGCGGTCAAATGACCCATTTTGCCCTTACTCATAATAAACAACTTAGTTGACTATGAGCAGGCCGGTAATTATAGCCATCAAGCTTTGTGGTTGTAATCTGTAGGGCGGAATTTTCAGTTTGAAGCCCAACCCGACTTACAACACCCTTTCACTGTTTCTAAGACTGTGCTCATATCCTTAATTTGATTTCAACCTCTTTTCAAGATTGTATATACACACCAAATGACTTAATAGACCAAAAAAAACAACAACAAGAAACACAACAACTTTCTCAAACTAATATTCTATCTAATCAAGAATCGTAGAAAATAGCCAAACCTACTATTGGAGCACAAAAACAAGCTATTGATATGCAAAAAGTACCTTCTGAGGCCTTTGAAGATATGAAACTCCACAAATATGGGTGTAAAACACAAGGAATCCGCTGGGCAATGATAATCAACAATATTAGCAACTATTCTAAACATTGAAATCACCAGAGGTGGCTAGATATGATTTTTGCGAAATATTTTTTTTTTGAAAATTAGAAAAAAAAAGGAAAGAGACATCTAATAATTTAAGACAAAATCCAAAAAATCACAAGCAATAGATCTGTCTTGGGTGACCATGACTACAAATTTTTATTTAGCAGACATAAAAATAAAAAAATTCAAAAAATATTTGCTTTGATGGGGTTCCGCATGTAGATGAACTCAAGAATTACGTAACCACCGCATTGATACCATGTTGAAAAAGATGAAGAAAAGAAAAAAGGAGCAATAGAGGCAAAAGAGAGAAGAGGTTACTGTGAAGAGATGAGAGATAGGGTTCTCTCCTCCTGTCGCTTATATTCATAGTTTTAATATTGTACTGACATAATATACCCCCTATAGTAACAACCGTAAATATAAGACTAAAAACACTTTAATAGATGAATGTCTCCAGTTACTCGAAGAGCTAGGTAGTTCTATCTTTGAGCTTCCTTTGGGTTAAAGATAGATAAAAAGGATAGTCAATTTTTTTTGGGTTAAAGATAGATAAAAAGGATAGTCAATTTTTTGGTACTATGGCCTCTTGCATACCTAGGAATTGAAAATTTTCAAAACTATCAGGTCAGGTGCTTTTTGGTTTATTTTCTGTTTAATATTTGTTAACTACTCGACTAAAATGTGGCAAGTATTTGGTAAGGAAAAGCAGTACAATGTGTGAAGGAAGATAATCCTTCTTATGCTCCGTTACGCAAACCAACAAAGAACGAAAGATACATTCAACATAAATGCTAAAAGACCTCGTTTTATCTTGAAGAGATTTATAGATGACAACGAATTCGCTCTTCTTTCAATGAATTAATTTTTCCGCATCCTCACTGATGCGGGTGCCGGTTTGACTTCATTGGGTAACATAGTTGACAAATCTGAAGTCTCTCTTATCCAATAACAGTTTGTGGTATGAAAGAAGCACATACGAAGTTACCTATCTTGCCACTGCATTGCAGAGCCTCTCACACCCATCTTGTAAAATTGCTTAGCATTAGCCAAGTTTCAATGAGGTATTCTAAAAGTGTTACGGCCTCCACTTTAATAATCGACAAATTTTTTACCTTTTTGTGTAAGGGTAAGGAAATCAGTTTTTTTCCCCAAAGGGTTCATTATTGATTGGAGATATTACATTGTAATCTTGCTTTAATTTTAGGTTGGACATCTCTTTAGATTCAATTTAGATTTGACATGATTTTCAGCGTCATAAGTTAGTTGGACTCCTGATCACCCAGAGAGACGGTAATAATTTCTGGATGAGCTTGGCTTCTATTATTCATATGCTGTCTCATTTTGACCCTCTTTAAGATCTACAAGGATCCTGTGGGAGCGGGTCTGTGTTACTTCATTTGTGTCTAGTCTGCCATGATTTGCATAGACTCTTGATTATTGTATAGTAAGTGTTGGCTTTTTCCCTTCTCTCTCTTGTAAGCTCTTGATTGCTCTTCCTTCTACTCATATAGGAGGCAAAAGAAAGTTAAAGGGAGGGTCTAAATGTGTTATTTTGTTTTTGAAGTATATTGATTAATTTCTCCATTGGAAAAGGCTTAATATGGGTTAGATTTTACATATTAAATGCTTTGCTTCATATGACTAGAATTTTTTGTGTTCTATTGGGCATTGCATAATTTGCTAACCATGCTTAAATTCTTGTTTTTCTTTTTCAGCCAATTTTGGTATTTATGTCCAAGGTGGATGGGAGTTTTAAATATAACCCCGTTGGTGTTAACTTCCTTACGGAGTGTGCAAAAGTTCTCTTTGCAATTGTTATGCTTGTGATCCAGGTACATTTGGCTTTTTTCCTCACTTCAACTTCAAAATATTATCTTTTTTGTTTTCATGTTTTCCTTGGTAATTTATCTCCCCGGAGTACTTGTGAATTGAGCATGTTCAAGTAAGACAATCTTGAGACTGTTTAATACATTTGAGTTTACTCACTGCTTAATTTTATATCGATATACCAAATTATTGTGATATTTTTATTTACTAAAGTAGGATTAAGTGATTTGGGTATTATTTTAATGTTAATCAAGTTGTGATTAGAATCGTTAAGGCCAGAAAAATGTTGGTGAAGATTCCCAACGAACTCGTTTTGTATAATTGCAAACATGCAGAGGGAAATGTGTCGCATATAATGCAATGTGGACTATGTATTAGCAAAGTAAGTAAGAAAATATGCAATGATATCTACATTGAGATCTCTGCCTTATGATATTTTAAATATGTAATCTTTATGAATTATGGAGACTATGTGGTGTTATAATTATGATCACCATGGTTTTTAGTGTCAGTGTTTTGAGTGATTTTGCAGGCTAGACGGCAGAAAGTTGGAGAGAAGCCGCTTCTCTCAATTTCCACGTTTGTGCAGGTATGAAGTCTTAAAGATATACATTTGATGCATTTATATGATCTGTAGGAGATGGTGAATAAATTATTTTTGCATGTTACAAGGATTTCCAGCAACATCTATTTATTTTTTTAAGATTAATTCAGGTTGGCTTGGCCGTTAAACTGAGATGACTTCCATTTGAATGCAGTGCTTTCCTATTTTAGGCATGGAAATGATGCAAACTTTAGGAGTCTTATAAAAATATAGTATCTTTTGGATTCTATTTTGACTTCATGGGCTTTTGTCAAGTTCCTGTAAATGTTTATTGGTATATATGGAAATGGTTGGCTGTGTTATTATCACACGAATCAGTACAAAGGCCAAGATGTTTCCGAAATATTACTGAAACGTTTCCATTTTCAATGTTACCGAAACTTTGCACCAAAACAAAATTTTGATCCTTGGACTAGGAGAATTTATATTCTCTAGCTCTATATGCTGATAAAGATACATGCTGGATAGCTGCACAGTTAATAGACACCGCTGCGCTGCAGGAGTCAATTGCAGTGTTTTTTTCCCTTTCCCATGATGAGGAAATTATGCCTAAAGAGTGCTAAAGAGAAGCATAAACCAGGCTCACTCGGACAGTGAGCTTCGGTCAGACAGGAACAACTCGAGCCACAAAAGTTCCTTGTCTTGGACAATGTACTTTAACTTGGGGCTGATCCTGAGCTAACAATTCTCAACCCAATGACAGTTCTAGTTGGGTTTGAGCAGAGGCATCCGCCAGAGCCAGCTTGAAGCCCGACTCACAAACTATATATTGTATATCTTGTCTCCCGACTCTCATCCATAGGATGGATGCTCAACATGGAGGCTTAACATAATATTATGCATACTATTAGGATATAGTTGTGTAGGCTAAATTCAGTGAGTCACATCTCAACTAAATCCAAGGGTTAAGATGCTTATTGTTAGATTAGTAAATAGAGAATTGGCAGAACTCTAAGAGAGGAGATGAGGAAGTCAGAATCATACTTGGCCTCTCACTTTCACCTTATATTTATGTTACCCACAAAAGTGACTAGTATACCCTCATAATATAATCTAAGCTTGGAACAGATAGCTAGCTGCCAGACGAGAACAATTCAATACTTTTGTGAACATATCTGTAAGTTGGTCTTCTGTTTTCACAAATAGTGTTGCGATCTCTCCATTGAGTATTTTGTCATAAATGATATGACAATCAAATTCGATATGTTTTGTCCTTTCATGGAATATTGGATTGATAGCACTATGAAGAGTTACCGATTATCACAAAGCAACTTAAGGGGAAGTTGAGATGGAAAGCCAATTTCTTGAAGAAAATGTAGTAACCACATCAGCTCATTTGTTGTATGCGCTATACCTCTATACTTGGCCTTTGCACTTGACCGTGTAATCACTATTTGTTTCTTATTCTTTCATATAACCAAATTACCTCCCAAGAAGGTACAATATCCAGTAGTTAATATGAAATCTAAGGGAGTACCTGTCCGATCAACATGTGTAAAACCTTCCACTTTAAGATGTCTATTGACTTGGTACAACAATCTAGGTCCAGGAATATTTTTTAAGGTATTGAATAATACGAATAACAACATCGTAATGTGGTATTCTAGGACTTCCTGTAAACTGGCTCACAACATTAATCGCATATCCAATATCTAGTCGAGTGATAGTGAGATAATTAAACTTTTCAACTAATCTACGGTATCATCCCGGATTCTCAAATAGTGCACTGCCATCCACCAACAATTTCTGATTCAGATCTATAGGAGTATCAATTGGTTTTCCACCTAGTAAACTTTCTTTTTCCAAGCAGATCAAGTACATATTTTTTTTGAGACAAATAACTGCCTCGTTTAGATCTAGCAACCTCAATGCCCAAGAAGTATTTGAGTTTGCCTAAGTCTGAAATTGATGTTGCTAGAAGATTTTCAACTTTGCAATACCCTTAGAGTCATCACTGGTAATTACAATATCATTTGCATACACAAGCATAATATATCCTGTAACAGTATGTCAATGAAAAATAGAGTGATCTGTTTGATATTGAAGAAGACCAAATTTTAGAACTATCTCTAAAAATTTACCAATCCATGCTCTTGGTGATTATTTTAAACTGTACAATGATTTCTTTAGTCGACACACACTCCGATAATACTCCCCCTAAGTAATAAATTCAGGTGGTTACTCCATGTAAACTTCCTCAGTCAAATTACCAAGTAGAAATGTATTTTTCCCATCCAACTGAAACAAAGACCAAGCTAGAATAATAGCTAAAGAAATCAATACATGAATAGGGCAAATCAAGATTGAATTTTACTATATACATCCATCGACAACCCACAGTCTTTTTACTAGTAGGTAAGGGAATGAGATCTCTAGTGTCGTTATGATTAGTCTCCATAGATTTCCTCTAACCCGGATTAGATAACGCTACATGTAATGTCTTAGGGATGGAAATAAAAGAAATAAAACAAGGGAAAGTATGGGACAACGCATTATAAGAAAAAAAATTAGTAATTGGATGATTAGTAATAGAAGACCGAGTATCTTTACGAAGAGGAATGGGCAAGGAGTTAGAGATAATTGGGGAACTTGAATCAGAAGGCGCCAAGGAAAATGAGGGGGACCATAATAGATGGCCTCAAATGACGAGATTACATGCTTAGGGGGAGGAGACAGAGGGATAATGAAAGAGGTGGGGGTAGAGGTGATTGATTAACATCAAGATCTAGTGGAGGAGTGAGATCTCGAAAATATGGAATCGATTTAGTAAATGTGACATCAGCACAAATAAAGTATTGTTGAAACATAGGACTATAGCAATGATAATCTTTTTGAGTGCGAGAATAACCAAAAAAGATACATTTTGTAGCATGAGGAACAAGTTTATCAAAATCGGGTCCTAAATTGTGAACATAGCAAACAAAATTCAAAGATTTTAGGAGGTAAATTGAATAAGGGAGACCGAGGAAAAAGGAAAGAATGTGGACTATGCTCATTTAACATAGAAGATGACATACAGTTAATGAGATGATAAGCAATAAAAACACCATCATTCCAAAAATATTGAGGGACATTCATTTGAAATAAAAGTGCACGAGTCACCTACATCAAATGATAATATTTACGTTCAGGTGCACCATTTTGTTTGGGGGGTGTAGATACATGAAGTTTGGTGAATAATATTAGTTTTACGAAGATAAGTGGTAAATTGCTCAGAGCCATACTCATGAGCATTATCAGAACGTAGAAGGTGAGTACGATGACCATATTAGGTTTTGATTTCCTTACAAAATGTTTCAAATATGGAGAACAATTTAAAATGAGCTTTTTTGGGAAATAACTAAGTCATGCGAGAATAATTATTCACAAATGTCAAAAAATAAGGAAATTTATTAGATGAAATATTCTTTAAAGGACCCTATACAGGAGAATGTACCAACTCAAAAGGATTGGATACATGATTATTGACTTTAGACCGAAATGACACACAGTGATGCTTATTAAGTTGACAAACTTCACAAAATAGGGAGACTGAAATGACACACAGAGATGCTTATTAAGTTGACAAATTTCACAAAACAGAGACGACATATGACCAAGACTAGGGACTTGGCACATCAAATTCTAGAGAGATGAATGACCAAGACGACAATACCACTAAAAGGGAGATAATGAGATTTGAAGAGCTCTAGGTGATGGATCAGGATCAAAATAATAGAGGCCACCTGCTTCATGTCCCATAACAATCTTCCTCCTCGCCTTTAGATCCTGAAACATTATAAGGATAAAAAGTGACCGAACATTTAAGGAAATGAGTAATCTTACTAAGAGACATTAAACTGAAAAGAAATTGGGGAACAAATAAAGCATAGGATGAAGACACATTGGGACTTAGTTGAGTAGTTTGCAAACCTGAAACTTTAAATGAAGTCCTATTAGCAAAAGTAACACTTGGAGATGGAATAACAGAATTGTAAGTGAAAAATTCGCTAGACGAACTAATCATGTAAATAGAAGCACCATAGTCTATGATCTATGGATTGCGGGTGGAAGACATTAAATAAGTGAAAGTGGTACTTGATTGAACAAAAGTAGCCATCGAGGAAGATGAGATAATTTGTTTCAGAGACTGGAACTGAGCATACTTTTCTCAGAAGATAGTAACTAAGTTGGAGTTAGATGGTGCTGCAGGGGATGATGATGTAGGCTAATGGGTGATATTATCATGATAGGAGACCTAGTTAGCAATGCTAGACGACTTGCCATGTAAATCCCAATAGTAATCCACAGTGTGATTACTACGACCACAATGAGTACGTAAGTGAGTAACATTACGGCCTCCACGACCACTACTACGTCCCCCTCTAGAATCATAAATAGAACGACCACCACAACATCCACCTCTATGGTCCCGACCACCTTGAGTACTACTAGTTTTGCAAGTGGAGACAACCCAAGTTGAGCAGTTAGCGGAGGGACCATGATCAGTGTCGGATCTAAAAAGATAATCAGATAATGTAGCACGCTGTAAGCGGGTAAAAACATTTAAAAGAGTGGGAAGAGTGAGACTTCTTAAGATTTGGATACGGATAGGTTCATACTCAAGTTTTGAACCAATAAGAAAACGAACAACATTCAAATCCTCACACTGTCACTCCATACATGCGACACCGGTCGTAAACGGGTGGAGAATCCTCAACTCCTCACAAACACCCATAACTTTAGAATAATAGTCTTCTAAACTCAAAGCACCCTGCTTAGGGCGAAATACTGTTTTCATACCTCATAAGTACCAGTAAACTTACTAGTACCATAAATATCTGTGCCAAACGATTTCAGATTTTCTTGGCTTTATCGAGATAAAGCAATGTGGAGCTGATATGAGGTTCAATACTATTCAATAATAACTAAATAATTTGGGCATACTCTTGCTCTCACTGATAAAATCTAGGGCCTTGGGTTTAGCTCCAACCAAATACTTTTTAAAACCTTTGCCTTTAATGAAAACTTGAATACATTGGGGCTATAAAATATAATTAGTCCCATTTAGCTTGACCAAAGTCATAAGAGCATGAAAGAAAGAGGATGAGAAAAATATTGGTGGAAGGCTAGGAGGAAGTGCATCTGTCTTCAACTATGTTCTGGAATCTGTAGTCATATTACTGAAACTGGAGCAACTGAGAAGGTAGATCTGGGCTAAAAGAGAGCTGGAAAAGGAGCACCAACCAAAAAAACAGAGGAACCCAATCCTATACTCACGGGACCAAGAAGAATAAGGCTAGGGCAGTCCACAAAGCAACGAACCTGACCAGAAACCTGATGAACCGAACCAGAAGCCTGCTGAGCCAGACCAAAACCTGCTGAGTCAGACCACAAAACTGATGCACTGGCCAGAATACACAGATTGTGGCTGGTATAGGTCTGAAGACTATCAAGAATAGCTAGGAGGTGGGAATCAGCATGAACTGGCGAGAAGACACCTGAACCGGGTAGAACTGATCTGAAAATTGTAGTAGAATGGTCTGAACCGGACGTGAACCCACCTAGTCTGAACCAAACCAAA